AAATAAAAAAAAAAAAAAAAGACTTTAGCTGGGTTTTCACATGCAAAGTCACATATTAATAACAACAAAACAAAACAAAAAAACCTTGCTACGTGTACAGCGTTAGGCTAACCGAGACTTGTCATAGCACTTGCATATTATTGCTCTTTTGTTGATTTTAATTGCTTCTGTTGTCCTCATTTGTAAGTCGCTTTGGATAAAAGCGTCTGCTGAATGACTAAATGTAAACGTATAATGGGTGGTTGCTAGGCGGTTTTTAAATGGTTCAATACTATTGATACTGTTACAGGTTTGTGCATATTTAAAGGGGTCATATGATGCTTTTTTAAAGATCATTATTTTGTGTATTTGGTGTAACAGAATATAATTCCTAAATGCATCTACCTTCGGAAGGCCAAATAAAGTGTTTTGCTTTCGCCTAGAAACACACAGCGTCTCCCTGACATGCTGCTTCAACACTAACTGCGGTTACTGAAACCACGCCTTCTTTCTTTGCGTGCACATTTGGGCGCATTATGCTAATATTCCCACATAGTGAGGTAGATATGTGGGGGCGTGTTAGAACGAGCCGTTTTAGGGGGGCGTGGCAGAGTCTTAACTTTGATAAAGAATATCTCTTTGGTTTTGAGACTTTAGTCTTTGCAACTTCAGGGATCTTATCTATTCACGAACAGCTTGTAACACTCCAAAGAGAAAGGAAAACTTGAAATCGCATCATATGACCCCTTTAACAGCAAACTCATATGTGGTTCATCCAGTCAGGAGTTATCAGTTTAAATATACATGCATTTATAACTTTGAGAAAGTTTATGGGGTATTTTTAAAAGAATTATGTACCTTTAAATGGCTGACGGAAATGTGCAACGAAAAGTTGAGTTAATTTAAAGCGACATGGGCGTCCGTTGACGATGCAACAAAATTACACAGAGCTTAACTATATATGCAAATGAGAAGCGACAGCCAATAGCATTGCATACATTAGATACTGCAGTCGAGTAGAAACGCTGACTATTAATCCACAATGCAGATTAAATCACTCTCAGTGTGAACGCATCTCAAGTAATAAAGAAACCATACCGTAGGTATGTTACATTTAAATTCGAATGAATTCTATCGATTGAACGGTCGTCTATCAGAGCCCAAGAGTCACTCTGGTGGCTCTCAGTCTTCAGCCGTATTTATGATCGCTAGTTGCCTGGTAACACATAACTTTCATAATATGTGACTCCTCGCCTCTCGGTCTGTGACGGATGAAGAGAATCACATGAGAACCAGAACAACAACAGTCCCTCAGATCTGAACTCGCGCCACTGAACACAGCTTCTAGATTCATTCGGTCTGCATTAATTGGTTGCTGTTGAATTTTGACTACACTACACCACTTTTTTTTAAGGCAAGACACTATTTAAGGAAGAAACATTTTCGTGCACTGCTTAATTTTGGGCTTTTGGGATTTTCAAAACGTTGTTTCAGTGGAAAGAAAACATCCAAAATATTTAAGTATGTTATTGCACTTTATCTATTTGCATTAGTAGATTTCAATATCTTTAAAAACCATTTTCCCAAAATGAGTTTGTTTCTCCACTTCTACATACACCAAATTTTACAGTTTTATTCAGATCTATATTCTATCTATATTCTATCTATTTTTGCACTTTACCTAGTTGCATCTAATTTAAACATATCTTTAAAGGCCATTTTCTCAATATTTATAGTTTGTTTCTCCAGTTCAGCAGCGCTTACACCAAACTTAACAGTTTTATTCATATCCATATTCTGAAAGGTTTTATAGAAGGGTTTGTTAATATATCATTCACACTGATTTATACAACGCTTTATTGCTTAAAACATGGTCAAAATTGTTGTTTTTTTTTCAGTCTGTTGATGAAGTATTTTCTGATTTACAGAGCGATAGAAATCCAAAATTCCTTCTGTAAAAACCTTTAACATGTCAATAAAATCAAACAAGGTTTCGGATTTCTGTTCTGTGCACTTAGTCATTTAATTAGATAATGCATATTTGAACATAATTTAAGAAAACTTGTAATACAAAAATTGTTTGCAATTCTTAATGTATTCAATCAACTGGGCAAGTATATTGATGTTTATTAGTCAGTTTTTACCCATCATGTGATGTCTTGCCTTGAACATACACTCCGAACATTCGTCATTGAACGTTCAATAATTCAGTGGTTCTTCATCAATTATTCCTTAAGCCCTGGTCATATATTCACGCTGTATTTTGTGACTCTCACCTGACTCTGGAAACTTCTGGGTTCCTCCAGATTGGTGTTGCAGCATCCGATCAGACAGTTCTGTGCCGGAGACACGCCGCTGGAGAACTCATGGTCCTGAAACGAGCACAAAATACCGTTAAACATAGAACCGGGCTGCTGTTCACTCCAGAAGAGCATCATTATTACGGATGGTGATGTGATTTCAAACCCTTTCTGCTCTTGTGAGAAGAACGTGCGAGCATTTCCGCTGCTTTCCTGATGAATTATTAGCATAATGAGGCTGTGATGTAGAAGAGTGATTATTTTAAACGTCTGTCTGTCTCTCCTTCAGTCGCTTTATTAAAGGCTGTTTTCTCCTAAGCAATGCACACGTGAAATGTGTGTGTGTAAGTGTGTGTGTATTCCCAAGCGTAGCTAAATGCATGAATAATTCCAGAGCATAAGAGAGCAGCTCCATTTTGAAAAACGTGTTTGTTTGGAGAACAGCTCACTCACACACA